AGACGGGCAGCTACTTACAGAGCTCCAGGGCCGAGGCTCACACCTGAGCCGGACCACAGAGGGGCTGCACCTGGCCTTATGGGTAGGTTCCTGGACGGAGCCCTGGGGAGGCTGGGGGCGGGAAGGCTGCAGGCCGGTGGGAGGATCTCTGGGCCGCTGCAGCCCTCTGGGCTGGGAAGAGTCAAATATGTTTCTTTGGCCCGCACGAGCTGGCTCCCCTGCCTGGCCTGAGTTCTGGAGATGCTGAGTTACTGCTGTCCCACCCATTCCCTCCTCCGGGGTCCCAAGCCCCACTACTGCCTGCGCTCAGGTGGGACCTGGCGGTTCAGGGGCCAGGAAAAGCAGCCCAGCTGTGAGCCCTGGGCAGTGGTCAGTGAGGACCGGGAGCAGGCCCTAGCCAGGGGTGCTGGGAGCCTAGGAGTTGGGCTGGAAGAAGTGCTTTTGCTGAGGTGGCTGGCAGATGGGTTGTTGGCATTTCCTTGCTGTCCTGTGTTCCTGGCTGGTGGACCATGCTGTCCTCAGGCCGTGCCAACCTTGCGGCCTCTTGAGAGAAGGGATAGTTTCCTCTCCTGCGTGTCCCTGGGAGCTACGGGGCAGCCGCCAGGAAGAAGTGGTGCTGGGGATGGAGGGAGCAGTGCAACCCTGACAGGGGCTGTGGCACTTCAGCGGGTGCCATTGGGGGGCAGCCTGATGCCTGTCTGTGATGTGAAGAGGCGCCTGGGACAGCCCAGGATCTGCTCACCAGCGGGGCGTCCGCGTGGACGCCCAGACCTCTGACCTTTGAAACAGGAAGCAGCCCGAGTGCAGAGGGAGGTGGAAGTGGGACAGCTGCCGGAGGAGATAGGACTGGACGGGGAGGTCCTGCTCCACCAGAGTGGAGTTACCAGTGGCTTTCCAGGCTGCACAAACTCCAGGCAAAGTGGCTTCCTTGAGCCTCAGTGGTGGGGGGTGTAGTGTCTCCCTGGTCTTACCCAATCTCTCAACCACCCTAAAGTGGGGTCTTCTGATCTGAGGGTGGGAGACTTGCCAAGGCTCAGTTAACCCTTCTTTCTCCTATTGTTTGCCCTGGGGAGATGGGTTGGCGTGAACATGGGAAAAAGCATTCGCTCACTACCCTAGGCAGACTCCTCAAATGAGGCCCCTCCCCCACCCAGCCTCGTCTCTGCCCTTCTTCCCCTTTTCTCTTGCCTCCTGCTGCTAACCCACCCCTTCTTCCTTCCCCTGCCCCTGCTGGCCAAGTCACGATGGAGGCCCCCTTCCTCCTCCTCCGTCTGCCAAAAACTGTTTTGGGTGCATGTTCTCGTGCACCTAGTGGGTTGGGGGTGCTTCATAGCCGTCAGCAGCAGCATCTGACAAGCTGGGGGAAGTTGTGGGGGAAGAATAATGTTCAGGAACTGGCTGTGGGGGGTGGAGAAGAGAGACAAAGGGGCTGTGGGGGAGGATGGAGGGGGTGTCAGGCACGACTCCATTCTAGACCTGGGGAGCCCGGCACCCACCCACCGCTGCTTGCTGTGGAGGTGACTTCATCTCCTTTCTTCAGAAGGCCCCTCTCTCCCTCTGCCACCTGCACACCTTGTTCTGGCTGAGGGGCCTTGCCACCCCTGGAAACCTGGTCTTTGGGTCATCTAGGGCGGCATCCTGGTTTAGATCAGTCATCCTGACGGAGTTGGAGGAGGCAGAGGAAAGGGAGCAGAAACAGCTAGTCATGGCGCTCATCCGAAGAGGCCTGGTTCTGGGTTAGGGCTGCCCCAGCTGATGGTTCTAGAAGAGAATCCTCCTCCCCCTAGGGGTGAGTGTGTATCCAGGCGTACCTTTTTGTGGGGGAGCAGGTAGGGGATAATTGACGGCAGGAAGGAGAGGACAGAGTGCTGCTGCTGCTGCCTGGTGGGAGCTCCAGGTGAGAGTGGGGCTAGGGCAGTGTGAGCTATTACTCTGCATTCTTCCTGCTCCTACTCCCAGCTGGCTGGGGGCTAGGAATGAATTAGCCCATTTTAGAATTCGTCGAGTCAGAGAAAGTACTAGGACTTCTATCATTAGTCTTTTAGGAATCACTACAGGAAGCCGATTGGGCCAGAAACAAAGACTTGAAGATTGAATGAAATGAAACAAAATGAATCTACAAGAGACAATTGTGTTTAAAACCAAGGTTCTTAACCTGGAACCCAGGAATCTGGGGGTCCGATGACAGGTTTTGGAGCATCCTTGGAATTCTTGATACATACATACATCAGATTATTATATGAGTCAGAAAAGGTTAACAAATCCTTCGATTCAAATGCCCTTTTAGGTTGGAGCAACTTAGAAGAGAAGGGGCTGCTCCAAAGTCAGCTGTTCATGAGTTGCAAGGCTAAGAAAGAGATATAGATGCTCTGACTTCCAGCCTAGAGCTTTTGTACTCTATGTTGCTTTCTATGCTCTTTTTTTCATTTTGAGGACGTGTTTGCATTTGCAGCTCTAAGCTCTGGGGGAAAGCTTCATGTTGAAAGGCACGTTGAAAATGGGATTTTTCTCTCTCTGAGTAGTGTCGTGGAAACGAGTGCAGAGCCTTGAGTTTGAGGGCCACATGTTTTAGATTTAGTAGCTAGGGTGAGATGAGGTTGAACAGCCCTCAGAGCTAAGTATCAAGGATTTTATGGTCTTCTGTAGGGTGATGGGAATCCTGGAGCAGGTTGTGAAAAGGAACGGGCCTCTGGGACAGAGCCTGAAAGATGAAGTGTGGGGATAATGGAAGGATGGAGGCTGTCCAGATAGGACAGTGATTGGGTTTGGATGCGTTTGTCATTTGGTTGGCAGAGAGGATGCCTGTGCTCAGTAAATAATTGTTGAAAGAATAAGTGTATTTATGTATGGATCTGAAAGGTATACCGAGAAGGAAGGGGTGAATTTGGTAACAGAACATACAGTGGATTTAATCCTGAGAACTCCAGAACGGTGTGTGCGCGTGGAAACAGGCGGGCTCTTACGGGGCTCTTACGGGGTGTTTGAGCAGGTGGGGGAAGGAGACAGGCTCTAAACACAGAGCAGTGATTTTCATCATTAGTATACATCACAACAAAACTAGAATTGTGGTCTAGAAGCCACACAGATTTTCCTGATTGCCCAAGGAGATTGTGGAGAAAAGGACGGGAAGATCCAATTCTTGATTGGGAAATATGATAGGAGAGGCTGGAGCCAAGGTCTGTGCCTAAAGGAAGGTGCGCATTTTGTATCTGAATAGAATTAACCTTTCCATGTCAGAGGGTGGGCAAATGATAATGGTGACGGGTTGGGAAAGATTAGACCAGGGAGGAAGATTTCCTAAGAGGCAGAGGAGAAGGTGGAATTGAGCCAAATGATCGGAGTTCACCTCTCAACTTCAAGTCTCCCTGTTTTCCATGACAGGCCAGTTGAGTTGATGAGAAAAGAACTCTCTCCAGCCCTTTACCTCCCATCACTGTCTCCAGACCAGAAAGAGGTTGAGAAGAGCACCCTAAGTATGAGGTGGCCTTGCTGATTCCTGGAGAGGTCAAGGTAACTTCTGTTCCTTGTTTCCCCAGGCTGAGAAGAAAGCCAAGGTGATTGCAGTAATGAATGCTGTGGAAGAAAACCAGGGGTCCGGCGAGTCTCAGAAAGTGGAGGAGGCCAGCCCTCCTGCAGTCCAGCAGCCCACTGACCCCGCATCTCCCACTGTGGCCACCACACCTGAGCCTGTGGGGGCTGACGCTGGGGACAAGAACGCCACCAAAGCAGGCGATGACGAACCTGAGTACGAGGTGAGCGGCTCGCTTCTTCATCTGCCTCGTCCAGCTTTGTCGTGGGTCCTTCCATTGCCAGCTCCTCCCATCCTGCTCTCCTCTCTCCACCTGATCCCAGGCCTCCTCGTCTCCCCAATTTTGCTCTGTTTTGGTCCATTCAGATGGAGCTCCCTCCTGGCTGTCCTGACCCTCAGATGCCCAGGGCTGGGGTTGCCGTGGGGGGATCAGGGTGTCAGGGCTTCGTGACCGCTGTTTAATGACTTCTGCTCCTTGGGGCTCCAGGACGGCCGGGGCTTTGGCATTGGGGAGCTGGTGTGGGGGAAACTGCGGGGCTTCTCCTGGTGGCCAGGCCGCATTGTGTCTTGGTGGATGACTGGCCGGAGTCGAGCAGCTGAAGGCACCCGCTGGGTCATGTGGTTCGGAGACGGCAAGTTCTCAGTGGTGAGTTATGGGGTTTGGCAGTAGCCTGGGGGAGAAAGGGGTCTTGGTCCCAGGGCCTATGGTTTTGGCTGAGGGCATGGTCTGGACTTGGGGTGGTAGAAGTGGGCTTTGCTTGCCCCTACTATGTATGTGTGTGAATAGAAGAAGCCCGGGAGATAAGTAGGTGTACTGATGGCTCAGAGAGCTAGGGTGCCTGCTGAGTTTTTGCCTTCAGGAACCCTTTCCCCAGAATTCCTTTCCCACTTGCATTCAGGTCCTTAGCATCATGTAATTATTTATTGATGCATCTGGTCTCCTCAAGGACAGGGGCCAAATCTTCATGCCTCCAACTCCTGCCAGTTGCCAGGCACCTGGTGGGTTCTTGATGACTGTGGAAGGAGGAATAACCTGGGTGGTGGTTGTCCCTTCAGGTATGTGTTGAAAAGCTGATGCCACTGAGCTCCTTCTGTAGTGCTTTCCACCAGGCTACCTACAACAAGCAGCCCATGTACCGCAAAGCCATCTATGAAGTCCTGCAGGTGAGCGCCCTCTGACGGACCGCTAGTTAGCCTAAAAGCCAGAGTGTAGACATTAAACCTGAATAGAGGGTCTGCCTGCCAGGCCCTGTGGACTCCTTTTGTCCCCACCTTACTTGCCTTTCCGCACACTTCAGACGTTCTCTTGCCGTCCTCCCCTTCCCTGTACCTTCTCCCACCTTCGCTGCTGAGAGTCTGCCCTCCAGCTGTCCTGACACCCCATGCACACATGTTGCCTTGCCCTCCAGGTGGCCAGCAGCCGTGCTGGGAAGCTGTTCCCAGCATGCCATGACAGCGATGAGAGCGACACTGCCAAGGCCGTGGAGGTGCAGAACAAGCAGATGATCGAGTGGGCCCTTGGAGGGTTCCAGCCCTCTGGCCCCAAGGGCCTGGAACCACCAGAAGGTAAACACAGGTGCCTGGCTTAGCCCTCTGGGACCCCTGCCAGCTAGCCTGGGAAAGCCATGCTTAGGGAGAGCTGCAAGGCCTCCATCGAGGGACCACAATCTTCCTTTCTTGAGGTCAACAGGTCAGCATAACCTGTTCCCCATTGGCCTGCTGGCACCAGAGAGTTGGGAGCAAGGAACAAGTGGGGTACCAGGCTGCACCCCATTGTACCGTTGTAGGTAGAATGGGGGAGGAGAAGGGATTGGAAATCCTTGTTAGCAGGTAACCATGACCTCATTGCCTGCTTTCCCCATTCAGAGGAGAAGAACCCCTACAAAGAAGTTTACACAGACATGTGGGTTGAACCTGAGGCAGCTGCCTATGCACCACCCCCACCAGCCAAAAAGCCCCGAAAGAGCACAACTGAGAAGCCCAAGGTCAAGGAAATTATTGATGAACGCACAAGAGGTAGTTGGCCTGGCTCTGGAGAGAGTGGCATGGCGAGGCTAGCATTCAGAGGAGTGGGTGAGGCCCTCTCGGCCTCCTCTGATGCTGGGCTTCCCTCCCTCTGCAGAGCGGCTGGTGTACGAGGTGCGGCAGAAGTGCCGGAACATCGAGGGTAAGTGCTGACGGGGCAGCTGGACGCTGACTCCCTGGGATGGGCAGGTGGGCTGGCTCCTAGTGGGCTCCCCGGTGCAGAGACATAGCTACTGAGAAAGGTTTGAATGACATGGGACATCAGTACTCAGTGATAGGGTCTGTTCTGCATGAACCACCACCTCCAGCCTGCTTCACACACATATCTGTCTTCTGGTGCCATAATCTTACTGACTCACAGAAGGCAGCCCCTCTTGGATTTGATTGAATTTGCCTGAACCTGACCTTTTGCCTCTGACCTTCACCCATCCAGCGGTCATTAGCATCCCATGTCTGTCTCCTGTGGCCTAGTGATGGTGTGTCCAGCTTAGGGCCCTCAGGCCTGGGAAGATGGGGGCAGGGGCCCAGGGCTTAAGGACTACCCAAGGACAACTTCCATAGTAACCCAGGGGCAGGGCCCTATTCTCGTTCATGGGTGCCTTGCCCTGTATGGTGCCACTCCTGGATGGTGGCGTTGATCCTTTGAGAGATCACGGGCACCTGAGATTGGGACCACAGCACACCCCCTTTTTGAGGCTTTTCTAGAGCTGGCTTTGGTCTGAGGTGAGAGGGGGGCCCTGCAGTGTCGCTTACTCCACTTTCTCTGCTTTCCAGACATTTGCATCTCTTGTGGGAGCCTCAATGTCACCCTGGAACACCCTCTCTTCATCGGAGGAATGTGCCAAAACTGCAAGGTAGTGTTGTTGAAGGCACCTCTTGGCCTCTGGCTGAGCCCACCTCCTGACCTGTGGCCTGTAGGAAGCAGCACTTGGGGTAGCCTGATGGTGACCCCAAGGTTAGCTGTGGAAGCAGAAAGTCCTGATAAAACAGACTTTGAGCCCTAGCTGGTTTGGCTCAGTGGTTAGAGTGTCAGCCTGCAGACTGAAGGGTCTCGGGTTCGATTCCAGCCAGGGACACATGCCTCAGTGGCAAGCTCGATCCCCTGGCACGTGCGGGAGGCAACCAATTGATGTGTCTCAATCACATCGACTTTTTTTTTCCTCTCTCTCTCCCTCTTCCACTCTCTCTTAAAAGCAATGGAAAAAATATCCTCAGGTGAGGATTAAAAAAATAATAATTTAAAAAACACACACAAAAAAAACAGACTTTGGGCTTTAAGCTTTTGACTTGCCATTGTTTTTCCTCCTGAAGGTTTTTTCCCCTGTAAAGCCCATTCTGGTCCCCAGATGTGAACTCACAGCATCACAGTCACTAGGTGAAGTGAGAGGACAGGCTGACTGACAGAGGTGGGGGTGGGGGTGCGGTGTCCTCAAGACCCAGGAGAAAAGCCCAGGGCTGCAGCAAGGGACAAAGGGTGCAGCTCCCTCCCTGGCCCTCTCTCAGGCCGCCTTGATACAGTCCATTCCTGGGACCAGGAGACCGGCCATCCCCTTCCCTGATCTGTGGTTCAGGCCGGACCCTGGTTGCATGGTGGCGGGGTCATTCTCCAGGGCTGAGTCAGGGTTCCAAGCTGAGGCCGGCTTCAATGCCTGCCTTCACCCTGGCTGCCCAGGGTCCCGAGGGGGTGGGGGTCTGACCCACCACCTCCCTCTAGAACTGCTTCCTGGAGTGCGCGTACCAGTATGATGACGACGGCTACCAGTCCTACTGCACGATCTGCTGTGGGGGGCGTGAGGTGCTCATGTGTGGGAACAACAACTGCTGCAGGTGAGGGTCCCCCCTTGGCCCTCCCTCCTTGGCTGGAACTGGGGCTCTCGCTGCCTGCCCTGCCCAGCCATGCTCTAGCCAGGACTGGCCTGGGGCTGGGAGTCTTGCTGCTACACTGGGCTTCCTTCCAGGTGCTTCTGCGTGGAGTGTGTGGATCTCTTGGTGGGGCCAGGGGCTGCCCAGGCAGCCATTAAGGAAGACCCTTGGAACTGCTACATGTGCGGGCACAAGGGCACCTACGGGCTGCTGCGGCGACGGGAAGACTGGCCCTCTCGGCTGCAGATGTTCTTCGCCAATAACCACGACCAGGAGTTTGTGAGTGCGGGGCCGGGTCTGCTCCAGAACTCTTTGCCACCCCCTGCCTGCTGGAGCTAGAGGGCAGTCTCGGTAGCGGGGCTGCACCATGGGCAGAGGTGCCTGTGCTGCACCCCTGCTGTGCAGGGTTAGAAAGCCGGACACGCTCACAGTTGGCTGGGAGGGCAGCCCTGCGTGGGGAGCTGGAGAACACTCCTGGGTGCTCACCTGGCCTGTTGTGCTCACTGCCTAGGACCCTCCGAAGGTTTACCCACCTGTCCCAGCCGAGAAGAGGAAGCCTATCCGGGTGCTGTCTCTATTTGACGGAATTGCTACAGGTGAGAGTGGCGCAGGTCCGGAGAGGTGCTGCCCCCTCGTCCTGGGACATGCAACTCTGCTTAGGACTTTAACTCTGGCAAAACAAAACAGTAGTGAGCATTACAACTGTTAAAGCATTACCCTAAAGGGGAAACTGTTCAATGGAAAGTAAAATAAGTGGTAAACCAGCATGTCCAGTGGGCACTTTTCTTAACGGGGAAGCTTTCCAGTGGACAGAGTGACTGGTAGAGATTATTGATGGTTTTCACAAATCCTCAAAGGACAGATGGGGGGACCAAAACAAAAACAGGGGCACTTGCATTGTGCTTTGATGTTTAAGTCGCAGTAAAAAACAAACTATAAGCAAAAGAGCAAAGAATACTTAAATTGCTCATAATCCTATAATTAGTGTTTCGGTGTATGTCGTTTTAGCTTTTTGTGTGTGTCCATTTACATGTGTGTTTATATAATCACACAGATAAAACAAAAGGGTAGTAAAATGCGTAGTGTTGTAACTTGCCTTTTTATTTGATATTATGATTACTTTTTCATGTCAATCAGTATAGAACTACATTTCTTATTGTAAATGCTGGGTAGGATTCCGTCAAGTGAAAGCACCATAATTAATTTACTCCTCTGTTGGGTTGTTTACTGTTTTTGTCACTGTTACGAGCAGTGCTGTGGTAAGCCTCCCTGTGCATACGTCGTTATATACTTAAGGCATTATCTGTTAGGAAATGCTGGGTCACTGTGTAGTACTGTTTTTTCCATGTGGTTCTTGACCTTGCCAGAAGCCCTCATGAAGGGTGGTATTGCCATTATCTACCCCTCAGGCCTGCTCCCAGACTGAGGGCTTCAGTTCAGAAAGGAAGCGCCCTCAGAACTTGCTTTCATGTGACTAGAGGAAGATAGACAGTCTAAGCTCAGGGACCTTGGCCAAAGGGCCAGCATGGGGATGGCACCCCGGGCTTGATGGTTATCTTCGTTTTTAGCTCAGGGCTGATGTTCTGTAAACCTAGAGAGGCTAGAACCTTGATGCCTTCTTAAACCATGCCACGACTCAAGAGGCTGTAAAAGCTTTTGGGTGCGGGTCTGTTGGGATCATTGGAAAGGGTTTCCACAGTAGCCTCTTTCTCCTGAAGCTCTCAGGGTCTGTGCTCATTGTTTCCTTGCCTCAATTCAGCAAGCGTTTGTGGAGGGATCATGATAAGGAGTGAGTGTAGTTAGGTCAGGAGGGAAAACATGAATGAGACCTCCTACTCCGTCTTGAAGACCATTTGTAGCCGAAGAGAAAGGCTGAATTAGGAATACATGCTGCTCTAATGAGATGGAGAGGGACGCCATGTGCTGGCAGCTTACAGAGGAGGGGAGGCGATTCAGGGATGGGGGTGGGGAACGGACATTGATGAAACATTTTTAGAGCAGGTGGCATTTATGTTCAGTCTTGAAGGATGGGCAGAATTGCAGCAGGACATATTTTGGGGAAAGGAGCAGTAAGGAAGGACCAATGTATGCAAGACAGAGAAATAGCAAAGAAGAGGCCACCCAGAACTCAGCTGCTGTTCTCCCTGGATCCTAAACCTCCTACTGTCTGGTAGTTCTTTCCTGGCCTTGACCTCCTTTGAAGTAGATCAGCATAGACCTGAAACAGCCTTGTTGTCTTTGTCATTGATATTCCAGTTGGTCCAGAAGGACTTAAGATTTAAGGCAGCTTATTGGGCAGGGTGGGCTTGGGCCTGTCGTTGACCCATATGTCCAGCTGGCCAGAGGGCTCCCCTGCAAAGACCAGGGTGCTGGAGGTGACTCAGTGACCGTGCTTTTTGCTGGCTGGTGCAGGGCTTCTGGTGCTGAAGGACTTGGGCATTCAGGTGGATCGCTACATTGCCTCGGAGGTGTGCGAGGACTCCATCACTGTGGGCATGGTGCGGCACCAGGGGAAGATCATGTACGTCGGGGACGTCCGCAGCGTCACACAGAAGCATGTATGTCAGTACTGGGGGACCCGTCCTGCCTTCTCTGCGTCTCGTACTCAGCTCCTGGGGGCAGCAGCAGCCCCTTTCATTTTGTTCATTTATTCTTTGCCTTTCCCCATCTCCCCCCAGCCTCTCTTTGCCTCTTCTTCCATTTTCCTCCTTGTGTCAAGGCCGATGGGCAGAGTGAAGTGGGAACTGGGGAGCTGACCGTTTGGGGCTCAGGCTGCTCCCTGGCTAGTTTCAGGGCCTGTTTTTAGTTGAGCATGTGGGATTGCAGGGAGGTGCCTGTCCACCTGATACTTCTAATGACAGCGCTACCAGCCTCCGTTTCTCAGGGTCTCTGGCGGGGTCTTGACTAGGTGGCCCTTTGCCCTTCCAGTTGTTTATGTCTACCCCTGAGATCACAGACCCTCAGGAATTCTGAAGGGTGTTTGAAGGGCATTCAGATGGCCCAGACACTCTACCCAAAGTACGCAGAGCACAAAGTGCCTTCACCTTCAGCTGTGCGGCTGGGGTCACCTTCCCTCTGAGTAGCTGCTTTTCATGCTGGGAACATGCTGGTTTCCCTGCTGGCCTCAGATTCTCCAGTTCAGTCCCTTTACTTTGTTGTTTAGGAAGCAGCCCAGAGGGCCTCAGTGACTGCCCTGTGGCTGCACAGTGCGTGTGTATTTATGTACACAGTACGTATGTACGAGTGCGTTTGGAGTGAGCATGCAGAGCAGCCAGGCCTCCTCTCCCCATGTCAAAGTACTTCTGCCAAGGTCACAGGTAGTCCCTCTCTTCCTTTCTGCCTCTGCCCCGGCATCAGGCCCATCACATTGCCTTTGTCCTCCCAGATCCAGGAGTGGGGCCCATTCGACCTGGTGATTGGGGGCAGCCCATGCAATGATCTCTCCATCGTCAACCCTGCCCGCAAGGGACTCTACGGTAGGTGCTGCGCTCGCCCTGCCACCTTCTCAGCCGGTGCTTTTGCACGTAGGTTTCCTACTCGGTTATTTCTGCCCTGGGACGGCTGCTCCCAGTGACCCTGCCCTCCCTTCCCCTCCCCTCCCCTCCCTGTGCCCGAGCCCTACCACTGTCTCTGCAGACAGCCCAGCTAATGGCTTTTTCTTCCGCCTCTCAGAGGGCACTGGCCGGCTCTTCTTTGAGTTCTACCGCCTCCTGCATGATGCGCGGCCCAAGGAGGGAGATGACCGCCCCTTCTTCTGGCTCTTTGAGAATGTGGTGGCCATGGGCGTTAGTGACAAGAGGGACATCTCGCGATTTCTCGAGGTATAGCCAGCACCCTTGGTTTGGCCAGCTCACTAATGGCTTCTACCTTGGACGGCTGCTTTATCCCTGTCTCATCTGCATTGCGGAGCTGGGGACCGGGGACTTCTGCTTTGCAAGGGGCCCGTTTGGGAAGCTCAGGGCTTCCCAGTTAGGGAGAAAGCATTGTTAGAGGCCCACCCCAAAAGAACTAATCATCTCACTCTCGGGAGGTACGTGGGCCTCAGGACTTGAAGGACCTGACTGTTAAAGCGGGCAGGGTGCCCCACTCCCGGAGCTGGGGTTCTGTGTGGCATTTCACGGGGGGAACCTAGGAGATGCCAAAATCGGTGGCTCATCCTCGCTCCTTGGCAGCTGAGACAGATGCTTTATGATATCTGGAAAGGAAACGGCTTATCTCACAGTGTAGGACCCAGCTTGGGTCTGAGCCGGGGGTGAGCTATGCACAGAGAGTTTCTGCAGCCAGATACATCCTTAGGGTGGGTGGTCCAGGAGCTCAAGCCCACGCTCCCAAGTCTTGGGATCAGTAACAGCTGCTGTTCTTACTATAACTGCGAGTTGGTGTCTATCTGGCTCATAATCTGGATGTACAGTGAACATGGGCACACTGGCTGGAACTTTCTTTCACAAAGCCTCTGGGTGAAGTAGAGCTGTGTGGTCCATAATGGTAGCTGTTGGCCACATGTGGTATTTAAATACACATTAAATTCCTCAATCACAGTAGCCTCATTTCAGGTGCTCATGAGCCACCTGCAGTGGGTGGGATGGTGGCTACCGTAGGGATTGGTGCAGATAGAGAACATTTCCATTGCTGTAGAATGTTCCATTGGTCTGTGCTCTTGAAGTTTCCAGTAAGAGCATGTGGAATGTGGCTAGGTTTCATTCTGGCTTTTCCTGGAGGCTTCAGGGCGTCCCAGTGTGTGGCCTCCTCGGAGAGAAGTCGGAGCCTTTGAGGCTTCGGGGCTCTGAACTAGCGGAATTTCCTGGCACTCTTTCATAGTTCTCTCTCGCTCATCGTTAATCTCTCTCCTGTTTTATATAGTCCAACCCTGTGATGATTGATGCCAAAGAAGTGTCAGCTGCACACAGGGCCCGCTACTTCTGGGGGAACCTTCCTGGTATGAACAGGTTGGTGAGAGCTCCCAGGCCTGGGGTGGCTATGGGTTGGGGTCTGCAGCCAGGACGGCCCAGGGAGGGGGCATGAGTGGGCCCTTTTGGGCCAGCCTTCCCCGCTGACCAGCTTGAGGCTCTGCCATGTTCTTGAGGAAGAAGGGGAGTCAGGGTAGAGAAAATACTTGCTGAGAGACCAACAACTAGCAATCGAAATTAGGACCTTTAAAAGTGCTCCCTTTATACAAAGGAAGAATCAGTGTGCTGCTGAGTTATACAGTTGGTTCTCCTATGCTGGTGATGTCTTTAGAGTCAACTGGCCCTTGGTCTCCTGGAGAAAGGGGTTGGGGGTGGGAAGGAGGTGCCCACGCCCGCCCACGTGCTGGTCCCGGATAAAGAACCTTGAAGCAGCCCTGTGCAGGTTCGAGGCCCTACCTCACTTTTCCACACTCAGTTGGCCTCAGGTCTTTTTGCTCTTCATTAGGTTATACAGATAGAGACTTTAATATCCAGCAATGGAGAAAATTTCATTTCTTCAGTGTAATAATTACACTATAAAAAAGGCCTATGAGGACAGAGGAATTCTGGCTGAAAGTGAGCAGTTGAAAAGCAGCATGAGTCCACCCACTCTAGATATCTATTGTGAAGGGAAATTATTTCCAGAATGTTTTGAGCATGGATTTTAAACCTCCTAGGTAATACCTGTAAATTGGAAACATCATTTGATCTGGCCTCAGTTATCTAATCTCCCCCTCTGCCGTTAGCTTAAAATCTAGGAACTTCCCTGGTCTCGTACCTGTTCGCTCAGCAAGACTGCTGTCTTTTGCGAGAGCTTGTTGATGGGAAGGAGGTGGGTCAGTGGGGCAGCTGACCTGAAAACTTTTAAGTGTCCCCCATAAAGTTCCCAAGATGGATGCATGCATTGGAAAAAAGGACTGGCGTATATAGTCCAGCATTTTCATGAAGCCACTAACTCAGTGTCTCCAAACTGACCTCGATCCTAGGGAATTATTCCCACCTGCTTCTCCCAACTCTAAAATTCTAGAACTCTGAGCTTCCGGAAGGGGCAGGGGTACCAGGTCGTACCAAGTAGAGTCGTGTGTGTGTGCCCAAGCATGTGCATAAACAGAGAGGAGTCTGGAGGCACAGTTGGATTGGGGTCCCTGTGGTTCCCATGCTGAGATGGCGAACCTCTCTGTGAAACTTTCATTAAGTATTTCTAAATGTGAGAAAAGGCCTGTGCCAGATGTGATGTTTAGTGATCTGGTCTGCCCTCTGGGAAGTGACACATTCAGTGCCACAGAATTTTAGTCTTCAGGGGACTGTGCAGAATTTGTCTTTTTAACTTTACATTTAACTGCACAGTTTGATGAATTTCATTCAGTGTACCCACCCATGTAACTGTTGCCATAGTCGAGATACACAATATTCTGTTACTCCCAAAGCTTTTAAAACTCATTTAAAATAACTGATATAAAAGTATTTGGGTTTTTCCCCTTCTAGGCAGGTATTAACTGCTTATTTGTAGTTTGAGACCACTTTTGAATTTACCTTTAAGGGTTAATGCTTGGTGGATTTGTGTATGTGCACATATTCTGGGGGAGTTTGAAGGGCTTACACATGGGTGGGAGATAGGATCCTCTTTGCTTACCTGTGTGAGTCATGGCTGCTATGTCACCTTTCTGTGGTCACCTTCTCTTTTCTGCCTCCTAGGCCGTTGGCATCCACTGTGAATGATAAGCTGGAGCTGCAGGAGTGTCTGGAGCATGGCAGAATAGCCAAGGTTAGCCCCAGACTCGGAGCCCTCTGCTGGGTGGTGGAGAGAAAGACAGAGGGCGGGATGAGGTAGAGCAGACACCTGGGCTGTGTGCCCGCCCTCTAGGGCTCTGGGTGCAGCTCGTGTGAGGGGTGTAATCTATGAGGTGATATGGGGTCATTCACGCAGTTGGCCTGAGGGGAGGATTCAGAGGAAGGTCTGGAGGACAGGGAGGGAGATCAAAAGTCCTTGCTGGCTTTCTGCTGCCCTTCTCTCTAAACATCACTTGGTGTCCCATGGGAGGGAGACACTGAGAAACCTAGGTCTGCTAGGGTATTTACATTTTTTGGCCAGGACCTATTGCACAAGCCTCCAGAGCAGAGATTCTCGTGATGTGGAAGCTCCATTTCTCTCTGGAGAAATCTCCTCGAGTGAGTGCACCGGGCATCAGGTTCCTTGAGAGAAGGCGCCAGCATTTGTGTGTCTCTAAGCCTGAGTAACTTGGCATCTTTTTGCCTGCAAGTCACTGCACTTTTGAAAGAAGCAATTATTAGAGGACTCAGGAAGGACAGTGGCTCAAGCTGCCATATCTCAGGTCCTTGGCCAGTGGGATTAGACTAAGGATGGCTGGGTGACTTCAGAGCAGGAAGAAGAGCAAGACGGGGGGGTCTGCGGAGGCCCATTGGGAGCCTTCCCCGGCCCCCTGGATAGACCAGGCCTTGTCAGGGTTTGACTCACCAGTCCCTGGCAAGCACCTGGCACACAGCGTAGATGCATGACCAGTCAATGCTCATTCCTCTTTCCTCATCTTCTAGTTCAGCAAAGTGAGGACCATTACTACAAGGTCGAACTCCATAAAGCAGGGCAAAGACCAGCATTTCCCCGTCTTCATGAATGAGAAAGAGGACATCTTATGGTGCACTGAAATGGAAAGGTATCTAAGGCCATGGGCTGTGTGATGTGTTCTGATTGCTGTCCTTGCGGGAGGGGTCTCTGTCTCTCTGGCCAGGCTGGCATCTTCCACAGATGCCACGTGAGCAGTGGGTTTTCCCGGGCATTTCCCAACATGTCCAGTTCGTGGGGATGGTCCCACAGTAAGAAGCATCTGGGAATCAGTCGTGGTGCCTTGGGTCCCAGAGCTCCTGCTAGACTCCAGGGAAACACGGTAGCTTCAGGAGCTTCCTTAACTCATGCTGCCCATTTTAGGTACTTTACAAACCAGAAGAGCACAGGACCAGGCAGGCCTTGCATCCTGAGCACCCTGATTTGGTGCAAACTGGGCTCACAGGCTAGATTACCTTCTCATTGTCAGTGTAACTGCGATTTAGCCAGATGAAGAGGCTGTTTACACAAACAGCCCAAGCAGACAGGAACTGGGAACACGTGAAGTCGGGCAAGAGTTTGGCCCCTTTGCAGGGTTTCCTCCTTGTGGGGAAGGTATTAGGGATGTGTAGTTATTGCTTACAGACTTCAGATACCCACTGTGGATCTAAATCTCAGGTGGGGCCTGTCCTGGAGGCGTTTTTCACAAACACTAACTTTGCTTCTACTGTTCGTAAATCTCTAGTCCGCAATTATCTTACTTACCTTCAAATCCACAGAAGGTAGGGGAGTGCCCGAGTCTTGATGACCAAGGACTACAGCTTGCGCAGAACCCCGCGTGCCCGCGCTCACCCCGCCTCTCTGCCTTTTCTCCCCAGGGTGTTTGGCTTCCCTGTCCACTATACCGACGTCTCCAACATGAGCCGCTTGGCGAGGCAGAGACTGCTGGGCCGGTCGTGGAGCGTGCCGGTCATCCGCCACCTCTTCGCTCCACTGAAGGAATATTTTGCTTGTGTGTAAGGGACATGAGGGCAAACTGAGGTAGTGAAAAAACGTTAAACAAACAAACAAAAAACACAAAACACAACAAAACACCAAGAACATGAGGATGGAGAGAAGTATCAGCACCCAGAAGAGAAAAAGGAATTTAAAACAAAAACCAGAGGCGGAAATACCGGAGGGCTTTGCCTTGCGAAAAGGGTTGGACGTCATCTCCTTGATTTTCCAATGTTAATCTTTAGTCCTATTTAAAAACAACACCAAGTTCCCTCTCCCCCCTCCCCCCCTTTTTTTTTGGTCAAACCTTTTGTTTTCTACTCTTTTCAGAGGGGTTTTCTGTTTGTTTGGGTTTTTGTTTCTTGCTGTGACGGAAACAGAGGGTTTATTGCAGCAGAAATCATGGTAACAAAAAAATAGTAACAATACCTTGCAGAGGAAAGATAAGAGAGGAGGAAAGAAGGAAATTCTATAGAAATCTATATATTGGTATTGGATTTTTTTTTTTTTTTTTTTTTATATATCTTTTTGTTGTTGTCTCTAGCCTGATCAGATAGGAGCACAAGCAGGGGACAGAAACTAGAGAGACACTCAGGAGGCAGAGTTCCCTCCCAGCCACTGAGCTGTCTTGCCAGCACCATTCCTGGTCATGCAAAACAGAACCCAACTAGCAGCAGGGAGGCGAGGACACCACACAAGACCCTTTTATACAGTATTTCAGGTGCCTACCACACAGGAAACCTTGAAGAAAATCAGTTTCTAGAAGCCGCTGTTACCTCTTGTTTACAGTTTATATATATATGATAGATATGAGCTATATATATAAAAGGTACTGTTAACTACTGTACAACCTGACTTCATAATGGTGCTTTCAAACAGCGAGATGAGTAAAAACATCAGCTTCCACGCTGCCTTATGTGCAAAGGGTTCTAACCAAGGATGGAGAGAGGGAGATAGCTTGGAGGTGAATTGTCATCAAGGCGGGCTTTTTCCCCTTGGTGTTCAACGAGGTGAAGGAGAATTTGGGAACAGCGTTTCCCTGCTTCTCCCTGCCAAAAAGGGGGTGAGATGAGGTGGTCGGGACCGTGGACAGCTGAGAGCGGGATTCATCCAGGATCACGCAATAACCTTTTGACTTTTTTTTTTTTTTTTCAAAAAGGAGACTCCCTCAACAAGATGTCAGGATGAGGGGTCTTCATTCCAAGTTTCTCACATTAGCCGATTTGAGGGCTCCTCGTGGTGGGATCAGAAATAATCCAGAGTGTGGGAAAGTGACAGTTCAAACCCCACCTGGAGCAAATAAAAAAACATACAAAACGTACTGGTGCTTTCCTGTCTAAAGTCGCCTTTTGTGTGTTCTTTTATGAGGCCCCACCATCCACCCTCTGTGCACAAGGTGGCTTCCGGCCCTGGAATGTGATGTTTTTGGTCATCTCCAAAGGCTGCAGTTTTATACTGGGAGGCTGACGACACCTTTTGTTATAATTATTCTTATGGTTCTGGTTATAATTATGTTTGTTTTCAGATTTTTTGTTAAGAACACAAAAACCCAACCCCCATTCCCTTTAGGTTTCAAACCAAGGTGCGGGGAGCAGGGTGCTTCTAAGTTAGCGGTGGCCCTGGTGCCCTGGCTCCCTACCCCTCGGGCCAGGTGGGCCACCAGGCGCAGCGACAGCTGGGCGATCCGGGAATCTGTCCCCAAGGCCCGCCTTCCGGTGCGTCCCTCTTCTCTTCTACTTCCCCTCCTCTGGAGTCATGTGTGTCAGGGCTGGAGGGAGGACTGGCCGTCTCTCCGTGTGTGTGATTGGAGTGGTGTGTATTTCTTTTTAGTGCTTTGGTCTGATGATAGCTGTGCTCTTACCTCGAGTCAGCAGCACCTGGAGCCCCAAGTGCACAACACTTGGTTTCACTTCCTACCGAGGCAAGCAGCCTGGTGTTGGCGGTAGGCGGGAACGGCATTGGCGGCTCCAGGGTGAGGGCCCAATGGGCAGATACTTGCCTGGATAGATGGAGTGTAGATATGTGGCATATAGAGATATATATTTTATAATGGGAGGGGGGATAGCACCTCCTGGGACCGGCAGTGCCGGGAGGTGTGCTGTCAAGCACATAGTCCCGAGTTCGCATCCCTAGAAACAGGGCCTATGGTGATAGGCGCTATATAAATAGATAGGGTCATGTATAAGAAATATTATGTAGTGGGGAGCGGGGGAAGGGGGCTCAGGATGCTGAGCCTCGGGTCCCGCCGCAGACATAAGCCCCACATCAATCAATCAATCCCACACGCATACGCAGGAACATTTCTATCCCGATGCATAGTGAATGCACACACAGCCGGGGAGCGCCGCTTGCGACTCTTCCCAGGATTCAGGACTTTGTGGAGTCGGCCCTGCAGCTCTTTACCTCTGTTGCCCTGATTGCAGGTAGACTGTCAGTCCCAGAAGTTGCTAGGTGCTGAAGGCAGGAAGAGGAGGAGGATTATTTAGCAGGTGCTCTCCTCTAGCAGGTAGCGTTCTCTCTCTTTTGCCCCTGGTGATGTCAAAAGATTCTTCTGTTAGCAACTGTGATACTGACCTGCAACTCTAGGCACCAGTCAAGTCAGCCCTCAACTCCCCCTACCTATTCTCCCCCCACCAAAATACAGTTCACATCCGGGTCTGTCTTGGCCAAGGGGCTTCCATTTAAAAAAAAAAAAAAAAAATGGGACAGTGACCCTCATGTTTTGAATAAAGCAAATTAGTAATTGGTGACAAAATTAAACCGAGGCTTTGAATCCCTTGCTCATTGCTCTGGCTAAGCTCGCAGCCAGTAGCCAGTGTCCTCCTTTTAGGGGTGCTTAGTTCTGGACCCTAATCTACTCATTTCCTTGTCAGATTGGCCCTGAAGATCACACCCAGTTGCTTCCTGCCAGCTCTGTGACATGGTGGCAGGTGGTAATGGTGGGCCCCCAGGGGGCTGGAGTGGCCAGGAGGGGGGGATGCCTTTGCCCCTCCCTCTCTGGAGTCCCTGTACCTGACTGGTGCTCACCCTGTCCCCTTGTGCTCCAGCTGGCTCCATCTCCCTGGCCTGGAGACCACCAGCACCACTCTAGGAGGGCTGGGGGGAGGAGGGCTGTCTCAGGTAGCCCAAGGTGCTCCCTCCCCCACTGGCCAGTGCGCTAAGGTCTTCCCAGCCCCCAGTGTCAGGACAGCCTGGGCCTTCCTCTGCAAACACTCAGCATTTGGGGCTCTCCTAGGCCTTTGTCCACTGCTCATGTGAAGTTTTCCTTTCCCAATGGCTCAAGCTCCACCCCAAGGGGTGGTGTGGGGAAGAGGCTTGGCAGCCAAGGATGTGGCAAGCCTGAGGATTAGCAGGCCAGCCCGCTTGCTCAGAGAAGGTTCGCTGGGGCTGATTCTTAAGAGCACTTGTTCCAGCCTAGCAACCTGACGAGGCCCTAGAATGGACTAGGTGCCCCTCGCAGAGATGAGAGTTAACGATCACCAACCAACCTGTGGGGTCAGTCCCACAATAGAACTTGGTGGGTGCAGGGGACCTTGGGAACATGCCCACTTGGCCTTGCCAGGGTGCTCTTAATCTACTCCCAACCATAGGGGCACTTCTGGGGACAGGTCATCTAAAGGGGAGCTGTGCTCCGACAGGCAGAACCATTCAAGGAGTAAGGTGGGGGTGATTGCGCTAGCTGTGGATGAGGCTGAGGGTGGAACAGTGGAACAGGAGAAACCAAAAAGGCCCAGGGAAGATTTTGGGGTATGTTCCCAGTGGGATTTTCTTTCTAAAGAGCAGGCCTGTTTACCCCTGAAAGCGAGGGCTTCTAGAGACTGAGGATGATGCCTCCTTAATTACTGCAGGTGCCAAGTGGACTGTGGTGCCAAAGAGGTCTGGGGGAGGTAGCTGGGGCTCATGCCAGGGTGGCGGAGCCCTTGGTTGCCTGTCTGAGGAGGAAGCTAGTCTCCAACAGGCAGCTGCTGAGCCCGTGGGCCTCAGGCTGGCTGGTGCTAACGCCTTTCCCCGTGGAACCTGCTGGAAAACAGTAAGCTGGGGGAGCAGCATTGGAGGATTTGCTGTTGGCAGATGACATTAGTGTGTTACTATCAGTTTTTTTCTCCAGACCCCAGAACCTTCTTGCTGTTGGACATTCTGTTAGCAGACTTCTCAGGAGAGCATCCAGGACTTCTTAGCTTTTGGGACAGGCTTGGGAGTGGTTGGCTAGTGGAGATGCCTGTGTGATTTTTGGCCGATCATTAAGGTGCAGATGGGGACAGGCAGACCCAGTGGGCAGGAAGACTGTTGGACTTTGAACTAGTCTAACGAAGACAGGCTCCCCGCTCTTCCTGCTTAGCTGGCAATTCTGGGGAAGCCTGGATGGGAGGGAGGCACCATCTCCAACACAGGAAGGTCTGTAACTGGAGCAGAGAGGAACCATCTGGGAAAAATACAGGAAAACTGGAACCGGTAGTCTCCATACCTTTGATTGTATATGTGAAGTGGATCCTAGAGACGTTTTGAACTGTCGCTGTCCTGCTTGGTGCAGAGTTGCTGTGGCACTGGTATCTCTTAGAGGTGTCGTTTTCAGGAAACTTACAGGAGCCCCTTGAGCTGTGGGCTCGGGCCTGGGGCCTGACTGGCACTGAGGTCTGAAGAGGGCAGGGCTCTTTCCCTTGTCAGGGCAGTAGCAGAGCCACGGTTCTGCTGAGAACTGAGTTTCTAGCCACGCCCCATTTTGATCCAAGAGGTAAGGAATCTGAATTTATCATCTGTTGTCCAATCTAGTTGCTCCCAGTCCTTGTGATTAGAGGGGACCCTGGAGCTGTCCTGCCCTCTGGCTGGAAGCAGCTGAAGCCCCTCCTACCCCAGGATGGGACAGGTGTGATGGAGGGCTGGCCATTTCCTGCTGACAAGTGTTTGGAGGCTCTGGGAAGAAAGCATAGGTGAGGATGGACTCCACTGTTCTAGCAGAAGGTCTCAAATCTTTACATCTTGGTAAAGAAAGGCCGGGGTCTTTGGGAAGCGAGGGCAGCCCGTCCTGCACCTGTGTGTTGCAGAGACCCAGTGAGGTGGCCTTTGGTTGGTGACCTCTTGCTTCTCGCTGACTCTAGGCAGTGGAGTTTGGGGGAGGGCCGCATACCAGGTCAAACGCAGTGAAGACAAGGATGGAGGGTCCCTTTTCTAGTCTTGACTGGCCAAATTGCCCGGAGGCCCAAGGACTCCTGAAACTGGAAAACTCCCCCCATGCGCTCCCTCGAGGGACGCAGGAGGGCGGCTTTCTCAAACCCCGGTCTAGCGGCCTCCAGCCCGAGCCTGAGGAAATGAGCAGGGATCGAAAGCCTCACCTTAGTCCCATTTCACTTCGCAGACTGATTGGGTTGCACAGCCCTAGAATCCAACAACAACCACCCCAAAAAGAAAATGCCGAAATTCCTTAGAATACGCAGAGGGAGGAGGTGACTCAACAAGGTGCTAAAACATTTTATTAAAAATATATATTGTTAAATTAAGTCTGCTGTCTGGACAATGACTGTTTGTTTTGTTTTCTTGTAGTGGAGTTTAAAAGAGACTATTATTTTACTCTGATATATTATTATTAAAAAGGCATTTTAACTTTGTACTTGAAAACTAAATGAGCGATTTCATGTGTTTTAGCTGAGGCATTGAAGTAGCGGGTGCTTACTTATTTGTGGGAAATCATGTATTCATGCTGAAGAATAAACTCCGTAGCCGATTTGGGAATAACTTTTACTGTTACAGACGATTTCGCTTTGACCCCGTTGGCAGAGCACTTTCACTCCACATTCCACGCAGCTAAACGCAGGACTTCCTCCCCGACCCGACCCTCCCCAGCCCCCTCCTTCCCTTTCTCTTCAGTTCCTCTTTGTTTCTTTCATATTTTTTTTTCCTGGTTCCAGCATCCTTTCACCACTGTATTTTTTTTTAGGGTTGCTTCTCTATTTATTGACAATAATAATGTACATTTCACAGTCTGGTTCTGGGGCATCCGGGCGGGGCACGTGCGAGGGGCCCGAGCGGGTCCCCAGCCCAGCCCCCGGTGTTCTGTTGTATCTCTGTGTGTGATGCTCGTGACATAGCTGTTTATGAAATAATTAAAGAGGTCAATGCGTACAGCAGATGTAGAAAGTCTGTCAGTTCCGCCTTCATCACATTTTTTGTGCCCAGAAGAATATAATAAAGCTCCTTTCTAATGTACTTGTGCTGGAGAACACTTGAATAAATGGACTGTTTTTGTGCAAAAAGAAAAATGGAAAAAGCACCGCGATAATGTCCTTTTGTCTTGCGTCTCCTTTCCCCTGACATGACTGTTCGCAGCCTTCTCCGGAGGGTTAAACACCAGTCCTGGGTCCAGACAGTGCAGTTCCTCTTTAAAATATCGCCTGTCTGAGCGTTAAATAGGGCCTGTAAACTGGGTGGAAAAAAGGACAGTGTGATTGACTTGAGGCTCAAAGATGAGTTATAGTGAGACAGGTTTGCTGGAAAAGCAAATTCTGTCCTGTGCTGAACGATCGAAGTTTTCAGACTGGAGCAGGGAGAGGAGAGGGCTTCATGCCCGTGTCTTGGTCAGAGGAGCCAGAGGGCTTTGGTTTCTCCAACACACAAGGGTGGTCAAGAGGAGACCAGCTGGGGTGGTTAGACAGTCTGGACTGTGTGTGCAAGGGACCCTGGAACGAACCGAGGCATTTGGCCTAAAGGAAGAGTCAAAAGGTGTTGGCACTGACGGGCAGCCCAGGACGTGTTATTCGGGGTGGGTGCGTGAGGTGGCGGGCCAGCGGGAATGGGCCTATTCAGCCCTGCGTTGGGAAGGCTCCTCACCCCTGGCCAAGGGGGCAAGGGGCCGCCCGGAGTGCAGTGAGCCCTAGCGGGCTAAGAGGTGCTAGACCGCCATTAGGGGTACTGCTGGCCTCCCTTGAGGCCCCAAGTTTGGGTTCCTCTCGCTGCCTGGCCCTGGGAACTGTCTGGCAAGTGCACGGCACCTTGTGGTTTCAAGAGCCCTTTCACACGCAATATCTCCTTCGTCCCCATGACCCTGCCTGACAGTCACTAGTTCGCTGTCCCCACCGTCTATGAGACTGAATTCAAACTTCCCACCACACCTCTGCTGTAAGACCCAAGGCATTCCGTGCTGTTTTTCTGTCCGCTAGTGCCAAGCAGGACCTGCCAATGGTTTCTTCCCCTAACAGAGGGTTATTCGAGTTCTTTCCCACGTTAGACTTGGGGAGAGGTGTAGGACTACACCACTTTGCTGGCAGCTTTGAAAGACATTAAAAGGGGAAATTTTGAGAAAAAGAAAATAGGCTTTTTTCATGGGCACTTTTCTTTACAAAATTGTAAATGTACATTTAACTTTTATCTGACCCTTTTTTCAATATTTTTCAGTGTCGATGTAGAATTTTTTTTAAATGTCTGCATGGCATTTTCTTGTTGGATGTTTGTTTCTATATATATATAATGTGCATTTTATTTTAGCTATAAAGAGAGCTGCAATAAATATCTTTGTGTTGGCGTTTCCCCCTAAATTTTGTATTTTTTCCTTAAGATACAGTCCCAGAAATGAGACTTATTGGGGCAAAGTAGATGAACATTTTGGTCGGTTTCTGACACATTTGCCTGACTTCTTCCAGTGGTCAAAATACATAGTTTATCTTCAACTCTGAAACTCTCAGTTCAGAAAAAAGCAAATATAGTCTTTAGTTTGATCCAATTCAGAAACCTGTGTTAATCCCAGTGGGGAAATAAAGACTTAAGACTTTTGGGGGGAGCAAGTGGTGGAAGGAACACAATTTGGTCACTAAACTTTGAAAATCAGCTCACCTGGCTTGCCTGCCTGGGGAAGACTGGTAAGGGATGGAACTCAGACCGAATCTTAGCGAGACTCTAACTGAAGGTTAAGGAGAAGTGGATGCCCTTTGGCTTTGACAGTCGTGAGTCATCTGAGCTGGGTGTGGGAGGTCTGGTCAGAGCATATAAGAGAGAGCTGCTGAGACTATTTTTGTTAATAAAGACCATCCTGTGAACTTCCTGCATTTAAACAAGGTATCATTTGATGGTGGAGGGAGAGGAAGAGACAGGGAAGGGTCAGGGCTGGGAGGAGTCAAGGCAGTTGTGAAGTGACAGGGTCCACAGCCCACTGAGACTGCCCGGGTGGGTAGTCCCAGGCCCCAGTATGCCCTGGTGGGGAAGAGATCCCACGCAGCACCAGGGCCAGGCTTGTGGGTTCAAGAGAAACTTCCTTGTGTTTGGCAAGGTTGACTCTGGGGTGGAATCGAGGAGGGAGGGAGACAAAAGCCTACTGGGGGCTGGTGGGTGGTGAGGCCAAAACCATACATAGCAGGGCCAGAGGTGGCAGGCATGGGCAGTGGGTGTCATTCCCGGGGGATGGGGGTCAGGGGAGTGGCTGCAGAGAGGGAAAGAAAGTGCATGTTGGAATGGGGCCACAAAGAAGTCATACCCAAGGGTGTTGGGGCTCCCCTGGGACAGTGTCCTGGCTCCAGCCCAAAGAGCCCTTTCTCCTCTCTAGTACACTTTATTTTTTTATTTTTTTAAAATATATCTTTATTGACCTCAGAGGGAGGAAGGGAGAGGGAGCGAGAGAGATATATCAATGATGAGAGAGTCGTCATTGATCGACTGCCTCCTGCACACTCCCCACTGGGGATCGAGCCCGCAACCCGGGCATGTGCCCCAACCGGGAATTGAACCGCATCTCCCGGATCTTAGGTTGATGCTCAACCGCTGAGCCACGCCTGGCTGGGCCTCTCCAGTATGCTTTAAAAGGCCACAGCCATTCACCCCAGTGGCACCTCTTCCTGCTCTCAGCTGGGATCCTATAAGGGGGTGCAGCTGGGTTGGAAGGAAAGTACCTGAAGATTTGGGGTGTTATGGCCCAAGACCTCTTAGAGGCAGACAACCAAAACAGCAGTTTTCACAGCTGGATTCAAGCCTCAGCCAGTCCCTCATGTTCAACCCTGACGTCCCAGGTGCCTGGACTGTGTTGGAAGGAACTACAGCATTTAGAAGTGGTGAATCCGAATCCTCTGCAACCTGGGGCAGGTTCTAGCTACTGGTCTTGAGCCTCTGCCCTCTCACTAGAAACCTGGGTTTTACTTTCTTGTCATGCATGTGGCCTCTGGTGCTCCCAACCCCTGCACGCGTGTGGGGATAGTGGCTGGGTCTGGGGAGGGAAGGAGCCCTGCCTGCAGAGACACTGCCCTGCAGCCCTTGCCGAGATCAGGGCTTTGACCAAAGTTGGTGAGTCTTTAGGGTTTTCTAAATACAGAATTATATCATCTGTAAAAAGTGACACTTCTACTTATTCATTCCCAATTTGGATGCCTTTTATTTCTTTCTCCGGCCTGATTGCTCTGGTTAGAGCTTGCAGTACTATGTTGAGTAAGTGTGGCAATAGTGGGCATCCTTCTCGTTCCTGAGCTTAGAGGAAAAACTTCCAGTTTTCACCATTGAGTGTGATATTAGCTGCGGGTTTGTCATATATGGCCTTTATTATTTGGGGGTACTTTCCTTCTAATACCCATTTTATTGAGCGTTTTAATCATAAATGGATGCTGTATCTTATCAAATGCTTTTTCAACATTATTGATAAGATCATATGATTTTTATATTTTGTTAATGTGGGATAGTACACCAATTGGTTTGCTCATGTCGAAACTTCCTTGTGCCTCTGGAATGAACCCCACTTGATCCTGATGTACTATCTTTTTAATGTATTATTGTATTTCGTTTGCAGGTATTACATTTAGGGTTTTTGCCATCTGTATTTATCAGAGATGTTGGCCTGTGTTTTTCTTTTTGGGGGGTTATCTTTGCCAGGTTTTGAAATGGCATCTTTATTGTCATCTTTTCTAACGTGCAGAATCATGTCATCTGCAAAAAGTGACACTTTTTGTGCAGGCAGGCTTTTTCCCAAGCTGGCAGAACTCTGCTGTGCCTTGCTGCACTCAGATTTGTAGGGAAAAAACAAGAAAACCCCACCCTTTCTACCTACACAGTGTCACCTGAGATTTGAATGGCAGAAAGCAGGGGCAGCAAAGTTCAGCTAGAGGAGCTGTCACCCTGCCACGGGGCCTCTGCGGGCCTCCTGGGACCTACTCCCTGGCAAGGCACGACCCAGCCCGGCGGAGGCGGAGGGGGGTGGGGGCTGGGTGGCGACTTTCCCAAAAAGAGAGTGTTCACTCACTCTGCGGGGGTGCTCCTTTCCGAGCCCCAGAAAGCTGTTTGTGGAACACACGGTTCCATTGAAACATGATTGATAAAGCGCTGCAGTCCTTTGGGCACCTGGCGGTGGTGGGCGCTGGGGGTAGGCTCCCATTTCTTGAGGGCGATGGCCATCTGGGAGGCACAGCAGGGTCTGAGGGCCTCTGCGTCACTCTCGTCACTCTCCCGATGAGTCGCCTGCCGTCACTCTCATCACTCCCCCCCATGAGTCACAGGCCGCAGAGAAGGGCTTGAAGCTCGGGGTAGGGTGGCCTGGCAGACGCCACCGCCAAGGTGCCTGCGCTGGCACAGGCATTCTCCCGCTGGCGGTGTGATTTTAAGATTTGATTTTTATACTTCATTGAATATTATTTTAAATCGTATCTTATACTCTATTTTTATTTTATTATTTTTGTTTAGCTTTGTTTTTATTATATTTTTAAATTAAATTGAAATTTTTTTTGCAGTTAAGATTGACAGATAAAATACCAGATATCCACTTAAATTTGAATTTTAGAGAAGCAACAGAAAATTTTCAGCACAAGTATATCTTATTTAGAAGGTCCTATTTGCTATAAGCATGTCCCAAATATTCTGTCGTGTGTTTTTATTTAAATCTGGCAACTCGATTTGTGCAGAACTCCTTCTTAGGAGGAAATCTGAGAGCCCTGATCCCCAACACAGAGAAAGTGAGGCAGCTTGTGTCAAACGGGAATGGGGCAGGAGAAGGAATGTCCCCCAGTGTCCCCCAAGCCCACCCAGGAGCCCCGCTGAGCAGAACCCACATACCCAACCTCTCCTTCAGGGGCTAGCTTCCCCAGGGCGATACAGGAGTAACAGCAGTAGCCAGCCTGCAGTCAGTGTCCTGGTCCCCAGATATTAGAAGGGAACCAACTGGCACCAGCAGAAGAAGCCGTGACCTCTGCATGTTGGAGTTTTTCCCAACCATACCTGGCCCATATCCTTTGAAAATGTCCCTCAGGCGCATATCCTGTGAGCAGAGCAGAAAGCTGAGGGTGGGGCCCATGTAGGCCTCTGTGG